TTAATATTAAAATATTTTTTGCGTGCACCTTTAAATTTGTCTTCGTAATTTTTCTTACTTATATAATTAACCGGCTGTGCATGCTAAAACTAAAATAGTCTCAATTTCGATATTAGAATTAAAATTTTTGTCTCTAAATAACTTCAAGAATGTCATCGGCAGATAATGCAGTGGATCTGGGACACCTGATATAATAGTGTACCAAATTTATTAATTACAAATTATAGAATTTTTCGAAATCTTTTCTTTTAAGTAATGATATTCATAGCTAATAGTTAGCTTGCGTTTTATATCAATTTTTAAACAGTTAATTTTTAAATAAATAAATTTTTTTTACACTTCGTTATATATACTTTTGGATGCATTAAACTTTTATTGCATACACTTTTGGCTGCGTTTTACTGGTACCTTTTTACCTTTATTAAAGCCTTTTTTGGAATTACAAATTTACATAAAATACATAACATATCGCTGGAGTTGAGTAAGATATTATATTCTTATGGAATTAAAACTGGGTGTTAGTTACTGATGCCAAATATTTAATTAATTTAATACAAACGCTACACGAGATACGTATGATTTGGATTGAATAAGATATTTTATTATGAAATTATAACTTATGGCACCATTTATTAAAATGAAAACTTTTATACAAATGAAACATACAATTTTAGTAGAATAATTAATGTTTATTTTTAATTAAAGACTGCATTACTTGAGTTTTATTTTTTAATTGTACAACAGTTTTGTAAAGATATGTATCATTTAGCTTTTTTTTTTTTTAAACAGAACCATTTGGGTTTTATTTTTTAATTTTTGATACAACAATTTTTTGTTCAAATAAAATTATAGCACCTATATTAATTTCATACAAATTAAATAAAACTTTACGCACACATATATAACATGATTATAGAATTTTCGTCTCTAAATAACTTCAAGAATTCTGGCATTAGGTAATAGATGGTGTAAATCTGTATGTCTAAGGGCATATACCTGTTAATTTTATGGTACAGTCAAACCTCGATAAATCACTCAAATCTCAAAGGAAGAGAAAAACTCCTCGAATGATAGAGTTTTCGACTTATCGAAATTCGAGTAAAAGAGGGTTAATATATGAAAATTTGACTTACGGAGGCTTTGTACAAGAGTTTATAATTTTCCGATTATAACGTCTTTTAGAGAAAAAAAATCAATATTTGACAGTGAATTATTTATTGCATACATATAATAAATGTAATCATAAAACAAAATACCAGGCTATTACTTATGATTACACACATGGTTACATAGCTACTTCAAATTAGAGAGGCAGCGACAATAGAAGTTCCGACTTATTAGATGTGAACTTCGACTTGTAGAGGTCTGACTACTTTAAATTCGAGTTGCAGAAGTAAAATAATACATCTATATATCTGACAAAGAATTCGAGTTAAGGTAGGTTTTATTTCGATTTATAGAGGTTTTCCGCAGTTGAGCGGAAGGGAATGAACACAATTTTCGTCTTATAGAGGTTTTCGAGTTGTAGAGGTTCGAGTTATCGAGGTGTGACTGTATACATATTTATATATTTATTTTTATATATTAATAATAATGCATTATGAAAATCTCTATAAAGAGACTTTTCGAAGGGACTGTGAAGGGAGAGAGAAGAAAAAAAGCGTGTTCGGTCCGTACGTGTGATGCGAGTTACTACGGATTGTCCGGATGCAGGCAATAAAGAGAGGCTCGCCTTGAGGAAACGCGTGGCTTACGCCTCGATTCATTGAGGACATCTCATCGCCGCGATCGAGGCGATCCTTGAACCGGCCGCCGCGCCGCGCCGCGCCGCGTTTCAATTCAAGAACGTCGGCCGACTTGAAATTGCACCCGCAAAATTTACGCGAGATATTCGAAAATACTCATCCGTTTGACAATTCTCAGAGACGCGTATAATAGCGCTATCCAACAAAACTTTGTTTTCTCCTTCGCAGAAGCGACAAAACTTTCTTAACTCTTAAAAAAAAAAAAAAGATAGTTGAAAGATATCAAGCGATGCGATAGTGTCACAGATAAGCTTTTACGAGATTCTTTTAAAATAATAAAATACTTGGCACTTGCATTGATTTTGCACATCCATTTCTAAACAATTTTTAAATAATTATATTTAAACTGTTTATTAAGAAAATATTTTTGGTTTTAAGGACGTAACATCAATTTTTTTTATGTACTTGGCGTGTATATATATATAAGTACCTATATATATATTTTTTCTTTAAAAAGATTGTTTATAACGAATATCTGTGAACTATCGCTACTAGTTGTTTAACGAATGGTAATATTGAAATGCGCGTCACACGTAAAGCATTTTAAAATTCTGTTTACATATATACATTCTTTCTCACGCGCGGATGTATAATTATTATGGATCGCAAGATCATCTTTATAATGAGAAATACCGCCAGTCATCTCGGAACGCTTCTGTCTAGAAAATTAGAATCTGGAATCTGACATGCCATCTGTAAGGAAAAAAGCAATCTTGTCTCTTATGGATTTAATTGCTTACTCCACGTAAGTTGCGTGCATCCAAGAGCTTTCTATTCGGACATACTTCGTTTCTCTCTTGCATGTAGGCAGTATCTAATCTAATTGTAAGTGTTGCATTGTATTGTGTGTGTATTTATGTTGTGACGGAAGTTCCGGATATACTTGAAAAAAATAAAGAAATTATTTTAATTTTCTAAATGTACGTGTACCAAAAAATAAAGCTTATTAACTCATTTTTTTCATTTTACAATTTCTTGATTCAAGCATTCGTCCCAGTGTGAGATTAATTTAAAAATATATTTGCATAAAAATTCGTCCAAGTTGCCGAACCAGTTTGAAACTTGTTTCTTTTCTGATTATGAGACAAAACGTTTTTTTTTTTTTACACATATTCTTTCGATTTTCCAAAGAGACAGAAATTGGGAATGCGAGGTCGCCTGTGAAAAATGAGGATGATTGTAGTTTAGAATTTCTGCTTGAAAGGGCTCCTGCTGATTGACTTTATTCACGAAAGAAAACGATCAATGCCGACCGACATATTGCAATATTGCAAAGGCAACGAGAAGCTAGTCGTTTAAAGTGTATTGGAATGCTCAGTCGAGGTCATTAAACTTTTATACGGCAACGCAACTACACGGAAAAAAAAATGATGTGTCAACAGCTACTAACTGAAAATAATCTTGTTGATTCAATAATAACATTAATGACATAAATACGTAATTAATGTTCTTGTTCTATATAATAAAATATTATCTGTTTCAATAATATTGTTATTGAATTATTTTTTTTTTAATTAGACTTTTGTTAGCTATTGCTGTTAATACTACGTCGTTTTTTTTTACCGTGTGTATACATTGCTGAGAAAATTGAGATAATAAGATCAGAGATTCTTAAACGCTCCCTTCTCGATTTTGCATCTCTTGTTTCTTTTTGGAAAAAAGTATCTGTGAAGAAAACATTTCGTGCTTCAAATCAAGAAGTAGAAAACGAGATCTAGATTTGTGTAACTCATGTGACTCAGCAGCTTATAGGTGCAAAATTCAGAAGATTAATTATAATCAATATCATGCTATAGGAATGCTTGAATCTCTTATTGAAAAAATTATTTGCCGAAGTAAGTTAATGATAAGCTTCATTTTAGTATATATATATTTTTTTAATTAAAATAAATTTTTAATTTGCTTTCTTCAAATGTTCTTTCTTACGAGTAGTTTCGAAACTTTCCTTGTAAAAGTGCATGTTTTTTAAATAATACAATTAATATTTCATGACACACATAATAACTCATAATATTAATTATATTGTATATACGTATGTATGTGGGAAAAAAACTGTCTATTTAGGATTCTTCTACAAACATAATTTCTCGTGTTTCCAAAAAAGTCCGATCCGTGGATCGAAGAAATCCTCCGGCAACGACGGACTCTTTACAAGCCGGCGGTGGAACATTCTAGAAAATCGTAGGCAAACTATATCGAAGGCGAAGAATAACGAAGTCAATTACAGTTAACGAGATAACATCGCGATCATTCAATTGAGAATCTCCCTCCATTGGTAGCGCACGCACGTGCATTCATTGCCGGTATTGTGCAAGCACACGGCATATCCGAAAGGGCGCGCGCGCAACGCATCGTTGCATTCGTAGAATTCCGCGCTCTGTAATTAGGCTAATTATTAGCTGACGTTTTCAAACCGAACGCTGCGCCGGCCAAATGCCGGAACAGCGATTTGCCCGTTGCGATTTGCGCCGTGGGCTTTCTCCGTCAAGTCGATCTTTCTTTCATTCGCGGTCGTTTATAATTGCGACCACTCCGTGATGTTTCGACGAAAAAAAAAGAAGAAAATAAATAAAATGATGAATGCATGGACACACGAGCGTTCAAATACGATACGATCGCATGTCGTCACACACATATCTGATTATACTGATTAAATTGTTTTATAACTTATCTACAATAGTTATACGCACTTGTATAATATCCCAGCAAACACCAAGTTAAATGTAACATACTTATTAGTTGTGATTTCCCTCAACAATATAACTCAACAATATAACTGTAATGTTATATTATAGTTATAGTGTTACATTACAGTTATATTGTTGAGTGGGAAATTACAACTAACAAGTACGTTACATGTAACTCGTGATGTTTGCTAGAATCATACTTTTGTGTTTTTATTAATTTATCTGCACGTTCTCGATTAGAAGTATGCTTGATAATTCAACGTGGACTATAGAAATGGCAGAGGGCAACTCGAGGAATTTCTGGGTGCGGCTTTCGCGACACCCTGTATGATGTAACGAAACAAAGGAAAATAACGTATAGGGAAGAAAGAAATGCAAGCGATTGCAAAATAAACGCCGTGTCCGAGAAAGTGCTTTCTTGCCGTTATTCCGCGCACGCTTCGCGCGGGTCCGCGGGTCGCGGATCGCGACGCGTCGCGTGAGATTGTGGGCCGCGTGTTATACGCACCGACTTCGGCATGCTGTACGGAGAACTCCAACATGGTCCACTGGGAGATGTGACTGGAAACAATGCCGACGGCCAGCCACAGGTGTTGGAATATTATTATCAAGATTTCTTGGAAAACCTCCGGTCGCAATTAATCCGGTCAATCAATCATTCTTCCGGCCGCCCGTGGCTTTCAGACACTCGAATTCAACGAGTACGATTGAATGAAGCGAAATTTTATATCCGGATTTCCGGTAATTCACGGCGTTAATTATGTGTACAAATGTTTAAGGATTTGTATTGGAGATTTTAAGCGAACAGGGAAGGGATGATATGCGTCTCTCTCTTTCTCTCTTTCTCTCTTTCCGCCTGGACAGCGTGACTGTAATATTTTGAGAATTTAATGAAATAAAAAGAAATTTAACAATTTTACAAGCCCAAGTTTTTGAAAATTTACTGGTTGAATCGCGTAAGATTTCAGAAACTGGGAAAGTTTCTAGTAAAATTCAAAAATATCTGTAAAAGGTTCGGCAATTTGAGATCTCTTAGTGAAATCTTGAGATTTTCGATAAAAACTTAAAAATTCCCGAAAAAATTTGAGACAATTATGAGAGATGTTGGACTCGGGGAATTCACAATCAGAAATCAGGTCTCTGAGAACGTGAGAAGAGAGATAATCTGGAGAATTTGCGGATGTTGTAAGCAATGCCGTTCAAAGAATTGAAAGCGACACTCGAAGAAAAAGTTTCGCCGCGAAAGGATTTCGTTAAACTGTCAACGGATCAGTCGCACCATGTCGCACGTCCTTCACGAATAAATCTCCCCCGTGGAGTTGCTTTCGATGCGCCCTTCGTCGAGACGCGACTCTCCACCGCGAGGGAAGACACGCGCACACACACACGATCAGAATCCCAAGGCAAACTCCGTCGGCAAGGCTGCCGGCCGATGAATTCGAGTCGCGGCACAATAATTGTGCGAGCCGCGCAAGGCGCAATCGCGCAGTCGCGGCCGTCGCGGCGGTTCTGACCTGCGTGACGCGCGCGCGGAACAGTAAGGATCCGAAGATGATCGACAGGAACAGTTTACGTTCCTTATTTCCGGCTCGCGCGTTTTTAATTTCGCTCGCTCGCGCTCGTTCATTCGCGCCCGCGCGCACGCACGCGTTCAGGTTTCTGGTACCACCAAGATGGCGACGGCCGAGCTTCCGTGTGACACCGCAGTGGAAGAGGGACTGCGGATAGACAAGATCTGCACGCGCACGGCAAATGCACGCGGCAGCGACGACAACACTCCAGTAGAAAGCGTTCGAGGCGCACTAACGCGTTCCGGCGTCGCTCGCGATCATGCCAAGCCGAGTCGATCCCACGAGCGAGTCGTCTTCGCGCGCGCACGATACTCGCCCCGAAGTAACGGGTGACGGGGCGAGCTGATTGCCAAAGAGAACGACGGGGGGACAGAGAGAGAGAGATAGAAAGAGAGTGGAGAGAGAAGGAGAGAAAGAAGGAAAGAGAAAGGCTAAGTTACGCGGAGAAGGAGGAAGGGGGGGGGGAGGTAAGATAGACTTTTCACCTTCGACGAGCACGAGTGACCGAGTGGAGCAAAGTGAGAAAAGATCTGCCGATGGGAAAATCTGACGGAGGAGTTAATGAACGGAGTTCATGAAAGGAGTGTTGATATATGACGATTGATGATTCCGTTGTCCGTAGGACACCGGGAAGAAAGATCGTTCGAATTGAAAGTTGAATTTAATTCGCATATGTACATACAACGTACGTACCTATCGCGACTTCACACTGTTCTCCGATTGCGTTATTTTGGATATCTCGGAACGACGGTGATGTGTACACGAGAGAGAGAGAGAGAGAGAGAGAGAGAGAGAGAGAGAGAGAGAGAGAGACGCGGAAAATAACAGAGCTAGGCTGCTAAAGGTCTCTCAAGCTCTTATCGGGCTAATTTTCGACTATTGAAGGTCAGAGACGTAAGAGCGACGTCAGCTGTTTCAACATCCTCCCCGAGAGATAATGATCACAGTCACTGAGAATCGCGGGGAGCAAAATAGTGCAAATACATAGTTACAACTTCGAATGAGACGGATTCGAGGAATGTGGAATAAAAAAAAGTTTGAACGGGGAATTGCGAGTGGAAAATTCCGGGAGACCTGAGAAAATGTTCGTGTAGAAATCGGTCAATCGGGAATATCGAGATGCGCTGAAGAGGCACGGTTGTTTATTAAAGTTCTATCTACGTGATGAATGTAATCCGCGATAAAAAAAAAATACTCGAAAACAACCGCACACCGTTCCGCCACCCGCGAAGGACTTCCGATAATTGTTATTTGCGTTCTTCCGATAATAATTTCTTTTGTCGTTTCAATTGATCCACTACATTCCTCAATGATTATCGATTAAATGATTGACACGCTAAGGACAGTTAAAAATGTCCGAAGACACTCGAGATGAAAAACTTTTTCTTTTAGGCTCTTTCAAGACTAATGTTTCTTCCAATGAGCTTAACTTTTATCTCGGTTTAACTTACTTTTTATCTTTCTCTAGTTCTAAGAATTAGAAAAAAGATAAAGAGTAAATGTTAAATCAAGATTAAAGTTAAGTAAAGTACATTGGTAGAAATGGATATAAATCGAGTATTTGAAAATTTTATGCAAGTTCCAAAATCTTTCAAAAGTTGACTAAACATTTTTTTGAATCTTTAAAAATATTTGGGGATTTTAAAAAGCTTCTGTGAATGTCTTTAATAATATATTAAGACATTCAAGATTTTTCCAAAAAAATTTCGAATTATATGTCTTATTATGAATTTTAATTTAAGAATTATAAAATTATCAATAAAAACATTTAATAAAAAATTAAAAGAGAGATAAAATTAATTGTAAGATAGTTGTAAGAATAATTATTTATAGCCAATTTTAGATGACACGAAATGATGTATGACGCATTAAATTATAAATCCGACGCGAATTATAGATCTTCTAAAATGGACTTTAGAATCTTGATAACATTTCTATGGACGTATTTCCGAAAGTATTTCTTAGAGTGACTAACAATCTTTCGTTCTTAGAAAAAGTCTGATGATGTCTGGAAATCACGTGATTATTAATGAAGATAACATTCTTCGCGTTATCATTAGTGATTAGAATAATCCTGCCCGAATATATCAATCGACAATCAATTCTTCAACCGGACGCGAATATCATATCGGTGACATATTGGTTCCGTTTGAACGGCAAGCATGCAATGTTCTCGCAATCGAAGCGTGAACGTCGAACGCCGGAAGTAGGAAGAAAAGTCGACATGCACGCTCGTCATTACAGACGGAATACTTAATAAGCGATCGTTCCCGCGAGGGAGTTGTCAGTCGATTTCGGACTATGAGGACGTCGGTCGGGGCGTCAGCGAAGGACGCCGCTTTGTTCGAAGTCGTGCCCTTGTCGCGATCAAATTCTCAATTGTGCCGCAGTGTGTCACGAGATTGCGCAAGTTTCATTCCCTTTCTCCGTTTTCATCACGTATACAAATGTCGATGTCAAAACGAACTGTTACACAGTGAAACGCAGGCAAAATTTATTTTTCACTTAATTTAATACATGTTTGCATAATATTAAAATTGGAGATATCATGTTGTTAAAGCCGCTAAATAAGACATAAAAGTTATTTTAGTCAAAAATTTAAAATTAGAACTTAATTGTATTATGACTTTTTTTAAAAAATCATAAAATATAATTATAAACTTCTTCTTAAATTTTGAATAATTTATCAGAAAATTAATCTCTGCAGATAGCTTATCAAATAAATTAAAAAAAAAACTGAATTACTCTACATAAAAATAATTTAAAAAATTATTTCTTTTTTATTTACAAAGTGTATATAAAAGAATTTATATTTAGGAACTCTTGTAAACATAAAATCTTAAAAATAAATAAAAGATATTTTAAAAATCTACATTTAAAGGTAATATTTTTCTTCTAAAAGTATAATAAAAATTTTTTTTCACATATTAAATTAATTTACATTAACTTAATGTATTAACATTATATTAATTACTTGTGTAGTTTCAATGCAAAAAAGATTTGATAATAGATAATGAACCTTATTTTTCAATCTTCCTCAGGTGAATTTCTTTGTCGACGGAAGTAAACTCAAATCAGTAAAAAAAATCGTATCTCTATTTTTCTTACGATTATACCTTGATTGTAAAGCAAATTATATTTTGATGCAAAATGTTTTAAAACTTATTTATGTATACATCTGTCATTTTATGTGATAATTCCGTAAAAAAACTATTTCAAAGTATAATTGGTGACTTTTCTCACAATTTTTAGATTGATTCTAAATTTTAATTCGTGATATTATATGTGAATTAAATTTGTCGAAATAGATCTATCTTTACATCGTCTTAACTGGTATGCAAAGCTCTATTATCGGAGTATTAATAAGTAATCCCTGCATTTTTGCGTTATATTATAACTCGAAATACATTTTAAAATATTCTGAAAATCTCAACTCTCGCGAATTCTTGAATTCCTACATCACGGCTCGGAATATGGCGGTTTTGATAATATGAATATGAAATATTCGAAAATCCTATTATCCTATTATTATTCGACTTTCCGAATTTCTATGTTATCGAGCATTCGCTCGAATCACGGTACACAATCAAGGTTCTACACGTATTCTACTTCTAGGTCTCGGGTACTATCTTACAAGCTCGAGCGATGCTATTAAGCAGTCTTATCAGCGCATGCATGTGACGTGATACGCGCGCGCGCGCAAGTAACTGACTAGCCGTTCAAACGTACAGAATGCCACACGCGCATGTTTCCTGCTTTATGTGTCCCGAGGCGCTCCTCGGTGACGACGTAAACCATATTTGTACTTGCGATAATGACGACCTCGGAAAGGCCTCGTCGTCGCCCGATCTCTTCTCCCCCGGTCTCTCGCGATCTCGAATCTCGGAACTCACGACATAAATCTCGTTCCCGATCATCTGATTTCATCAAAAGAAGTCTCGCTCGCAAGAATTGGTTCTCAATGATCGATATACACACATTCGCTCGTTTCCGGTATCAATGACACTGCGATTTTAATCCAAGTGAGTACGAGTCACTGCCAACCCCACTGTCGGGAAACGTATGAGATTAATCTTCGCTTTATGTATAGTTTTTGCGTGTACGAGATTAATCTTCGCTTTATGTATAGTTTTTACTCTCGTCTAGATAAAGCGACTACTTTTCGCTCGAAAGCTGTCGCTGTTTTCATAATACATTCATGGAAAGAACGATTTTGTTGGAAGATAAAAGAAAATCTGAAAATAATTTTTATTAAAGCACCATCAAAATATTTTGTCGGAAATTCAAAAATAAGTATTGCTGTAAAAAATTTTGATATTCTAGCAATCAGTTTGACTTTCAAACAAAATTATTTTGATGGTGCTCTAACAAAAATTATTTTCAGATTTTTTTTATCTTCCAGCAAAATCATTCTTTCCGTGTTTATATACTTTATCAAAT